TGTGATTAACCTTTGAATCTGAATTCTTATCTAGACAACGACTTCAATCTTGAACTCGAATCTTAAATGTTGATATTTGTTAAGAAGCGAGGTTTCATCTTAAAATGTCAACCTTATTAAGAGAAGGAACACAATTTTTTATAAGTTGGTTTATATTTACATCTTTATTCGATATGAGATTATATCCCTTAACATGTCTTCGCAAGATGGTGGCTCGTTTGAGTAGACCAATCTTGAAATCTGTATGCTCACTTTTGGAATTTTAATCGGATCAAATTGCTCGTTAGAATTTAATGGACTTTAATACCATATTAAGAATTGAGGTTTCATCTTAAAATGTCAACTTTATTAAAAGGAGTAACTCAATTCTTTATAAGTTGGTTTATATTTACATCTTTATTCGATATAAGATTATATTCCTTAACAATCGTCAATTTTCAAACTTCCAATCTCCTTATCTTCTTTCGCATTATCTTAAAGCATGAACTGCAATTGGTAAGTTGGCACTTCAAGAACAAAGTAGGAATCAAATGCTTTTTTTAATAGAACAAGAGAACATTTTTCTTTTCCCTCTCTCTCGTTTTCTACGTAGGATGCCCATTGATGAATTATCTACTGTGGGCCACCCCTATCGCCCTTATCAAAACGCTCTAGGACCTTCTTCTCAATTCCATTCAACTTTTGTTTCTACTTTGTTCTTTTTGTATATAAGTCTATTCAAACTACAATAATTTTACACAGTCAAAGTCAATCGAGATAGTCAGGCATAAATAATAATTAGTTTCCATTTTTCCATTGAAGGCGAGAAATTGTGCTCTTAAATTATATAAAATTCACAGAAGTAATATAAATTATTTTCCTCCTGATTTTGATTTCTCGTCTATATGTATTATCCCGTCGGAAGTCAAATAACTACATCATGGCCAAATGACCTTTTACGCTTCTAATTATTACACTACTTGCAGCCCGTAATTTTTGGAATATTTTCTTCATTTTTCGATTATAAAATTAATGATTCTAGAGTGCCTAAATATTGAGCCCAAATTTAAATTGTTCTCTAAGGAAGATATTCAAGTAGACTCATTTACTTATTGAACACGGTGATGGAATCCGAAAGCTAATACGTGCTCACTACTTAGTTTCCTATTGGCTCCCGACATACCGATGTAATGACTATAATATATTTTTTTTTTTTTTAAAGCCAATAGTATATCAAAGAACTTCAAGTTTACGAATATCAACCTCTACCACATAGCGGACCCAGATAATTAATTAGACAAAAAATGTGTGAATAATTTTTTATTATGATCCACCATAAATTAGTCAATATTTTACTTGGTTTATACATTTTCAAGTGTATCAATGTTGTCACCCGTGAACGCACAATCATCACAATCAAGACAAATTGTGTATCCCAATTAGTAAAGTAACTGACCCTACGATCCAAATAGTATTCCAACATGTGTTAGGCGGTCTAGGACAAATACTTTGATCGAAATATGAATTATATCATTTCACCACAAAAGTATATAAGCCATATTATCACCATGAGATTGATAACCTTTAATTGCTTACTCGATCATATTATGAAAAATAAATCAAAATAAACAAATCATATTTATATTATAGACGCAATAAAAATGTCATAATTACAGTTATGTCCTAATTACACTATTGAGCACCTATCATAGCAGTTACTTCTTTGATTTTATTGGAAAAACGAGCGAAGGATGACTATTGTAACCAATGATGCCACGTAGTACACTTCACTAATTAGAGATGACAAAAAAAATCGTTCAATTTAATGCTCGCGGACCACATGCTGAATAGGGCGGGGATTACCTGTCTAATCAAGTAAACGAGTTGGGAGTGGGAGTCTTTGTCCCGAGGTGGATACACGACGGGTACGAGAAACATGGTTTCTGCCCCGCTATCTGCTCCGTTTAAATTTATTCTCAAATATAAGTTTTTTATCAAAAAAAAAAAAAGGAAAAAAAGATTTATCATTATTTTAAAGGAAACAAAAGTTGTTTTTAACAAATTAGAAAAAAGAAGTAATAATATTCACCTACAAAAGATATAAAAAAATAACTATATGACGAACTGCTCCAAACCTGTCCCATTCTACTTTAATCGAGTATGGAGATGTGATAGGATAATAAAAATGCCATACAAGGCAAGGGGTGAGAATGATCGATCAGTTCTATAACCTTCTTGTTGCCATCCCTACCACTAACATTTGAGATCCACTGCTTCAATCTCTAATGAAGCAGTACACTCGACTATCACTTAGGCTAATGTTAGACATGGGTGCTACCACATAACATTACTCTTGCTACAATCCATCTAAAACGTTCCAAGTACTATAATGTTAATTTGTTTTGTCCTTGAAAGAATATAATGCCCTTGATTTTGTTAAAAAATAAATTTAGTATACTCAAATAAAAGTTAATGAAATGTGTGTGGTTGAAAAATTGACAAAAGTTGCATGGGCAAAATAAATTCAATTAAATATGGACTACTGACTAGCTAGAAAAATAAAAATTAAAGTTTTGCTGCATGTACATCAAGTTTGACTTTATTGTGAGATGACATTTTTTATACATTAATTTTAACAATATTTTAAACAATCAATTGTACAAATTTTGACATATCTTCAAATGTCAAACTTAATGTCCACAAAGAGTGTACAATTAGTTTGATTCAAAAAAAAATAAAAATCCCCCTTTAAATATGGAGTAATGCTATTTAGTATCATTGATATTATAAAACCAGTCAACATAGCATTAAATGATATTCAATTAGACGTATAATTGAACCTATCACGTGACATTAAATGAATCATATGATTCTTTATTTAATTGAACATATTATTTAGTATATTAATATTGTTTCACCAACTATGATTATAAATATAAAATCAAGAAACGTTGATTCCATTTAATTTTATTTATCTATAATATGTAAATATCACATCAAGTGAGAATCATTTTTTAAATGATTTTAACCGTACCACAATTTAATTATTTCAATAAAATTTTACTTTTTATTTATCAATGTGCAATAAATACTACAAAATACTTTTCATATATGAATATCGTGTAATTAATATTCAATTAATTAACATTCACATTAATTTATGTATCAAATTAAAATTTTACTTTTTATTTTTCAATATGCAATAAATACTACAAAATCATTTTCATATATGAATTTCGTGTTATTAATTTTCAATTAATTAACATTCACATTAATTTATATATCAAATGTAATATAAAAAAGTTGATCATTTGTAGTATTTCTTCATCACAAAAAAATTTGAATAATAAAAATTGAGTTTTAAGAGTACAATTTTTTCTCTTAAATTTATATCCTAAATTCTATTTTCATTAGTTAGTTTGAGACTCATCTAATACTCCCAATAAATTGATATCAAATATTACTTTTACAACACTTATAAAATATTTTAGAATGACGTGCAATTAGGGATAACAATATGGCTCGCCGGCTCAAGTGGCACATGGCTCAGCTCAGCTTAGCTCTTGACCAACTTGGACCGAGCCTAGGCTGGGGCTGAGCCCCATGTAGGGCGTTAGCCCGAGCCCGAGCCCGAGCCCGAGCTACAGCCATTTTCATCTCATGTCAATCGACCCTAAAAAATAATAAAAAAAAATTACAAACTAAAAAAATAAAAAAAATAGAAACATTAAAATTTAGCTGCCCGACATAGCTGCCTGTGCAGGCAGCTCTGACCAAGCAACAGTCATAGCTGCCTGTGTTGAATTTTTATTTATTTATTTTTACTGTTTTTTTGGAAAAAAATGGTTGAAATGGATACATTTTTTTTGCTATAAATATGTGATAAAATTTTGGATTTCATATTAATTTTAGATTTGTCACGAATTAAAAAAAAAAAAAAAAGAGCCAGCTTGAGTCGAGCCTAAGTGCCGAGCAACTCGGGCAAAAAAAAGCCGAAAATATTTTTACTCGAGCCAAGCCTGAACTTCAAGTTTCAACTTGGCTCAACTCTACTCATTGACACCCATACGTGTAATACACGTTCAACTCTAACTAATTGACATGAAAGACCAAGAAATGGACAAAACATGTCATTAAACTATAGGGAAAAACTCTTATACATGCCTTGGAATTGTTTCGATTTTCTAGTCTTGTTAAATAAATTTTCCGTTGACATCGAAACCCACTGCCATTTTCCACCCTTTAATTTTCACACCCCAGGATTTTCAGTTTCTCATTCTTCAAGGGTCCATTTGATTGCAAATGTGAAAAATGGATGGAAAAAAATGTTTTATAGGGAATTGATTTACTTATAAATTATTTTATTGGGAATTGTAATTAATTGTGTTTGATTGGTATAATTTTTCATAAAAAATGTTGAAAATTTGGTGTCCATTTGATTTCGTTTTTTATGAAAATTATTCATTAAAGTGATATTTTTTCTATCATTGGATTTAGAATTTGTTCCAATTGAAAAAAAAATTGAAAAAAAATTATCATACCGAATATCATTCGTTTGGCTTTGTTTTACATGGAAATTGTCAATAAAAGTGATAATTTTTTTTTTACCATTGTGTCTAGAAATTTTTTCAATTGTCAAAAAAAAAAAAGAAAAGTGAAAAATATTTACCAACCAAAACATCAAGAATTTGTTTTCCTCAAAAATGTGAAAATTTTGAAAAGTTGGAAAACATTTTTTCCGAAAAAATTTGTCTATCAAATACTACAAAATTTAAAAAATGAAAAAAATAATTTTCATGAAAAATATGGTATATCAAACATAGCCTAAAAGTCACATATATTGAAAATAATACTTTCTCGCTCTCTCTCAAAGTCACATATATTGAAAAATACTCTCTCTCTCTCTCTCTCTCTCACACACACACATCAAACCTCTGTTCTTCTATATCATACACACTGACTCCTTTTTCGTATTTCTTCTTCTTGAAAAGTTGTTTATTTCCTGCAGAAAAATTGCCGGCATGGAACGAACTTTGGTGTTACTGATAATTTATTCAGTTTTGGTGGGACTTAATGTTTTTGCATGGGCAGAAGCTGGGTTATTAAATCCATCCCAGTTGGAAATGTTTGTTGATGAACTCCCAAACATGCCTAAAATCAAAGGCTATAATGTTGTAAATGGTTTTCCAGCTCCCAAGTCTCTCAAGGTTGGCATGTTTCACAAGAAATGGGTATGAATTCTAATCCAAATTTAATTCACAGTTTCATGGCCTATATATTTTTTTAATTAAAATTATGGTGCATGTCCCTTTACGGGCATTTTAAGTTCTGAATTTTGCCTCTGTCTGATTTTTTCTTCTTTCTTATGGTTAAAAATTCAAGATTTATCCATGAATTATTGATTTCTTTGGACTAAAATTTTTGGCTATTGATTAACAAAAAAACTGGATAGATACTGAAGTGTCTTACGAGTCACGTACCACTTGAATTGGCTAACGACCGAACCTTTGCGACCTTCTTCAACCCGTGGATTTGATAAGTCCACAACGAGGCTCTATGACAGTAATCTATCTTTCTTGATTTTTGTCCGTGTGAGAATAATGAAGTGCCATAAGAGGGAACACTTTGCAGCTCATCTGCTGTTCTGTAAATATTATACGAAGAAATCAAAGAAAACCCAAATGTCATACACAATATCTCAGATTTACAGTCAGAATATAAAAAAGAAAAAAGAACAGATCATTATCATCAGGATCTCATCGATCTTGGGCTCAGACACATTGTACCCTTCCGTACAAATCAAAACAACCAACCCTATACCCTCAAAGACCAGTCGAAGCTACTTCTATGAAAGTTCCCAAACCTGAAACCAACACTCACTTCTCACGGATCGAATCACAAAGACTGAGAACCACAAAGGAACCAAAAAGATCAAAACAATCAGAAGTTGAAGAACGACACAGAGAAGATGAAAACAAGGGCAAAACCATAGAGGAATCTAGAACCCAAAAGAAAACTAATCTTGATTGATATTTTATTTTATCAATCTAAATCTTTTTCACTAGTGACACTTGATGGGGTCATGATCTGACACTGGATTACTGTTTTAAAAACAGAAGAAGAAAAATTAGTGCATATATATAACTCAATCATCACCATAGATCTCATATGTAATCAACAGTTCAGAGCAGCTAGCAATTTCAAACACCCAAAGCGACTTTTTTAAAGTGCGAGATATGCCTTATATTGGGTTTGGACAATTGGGCTTCTTCATTGAATTATCAGGCAATGAAAATATAATACCGATAGCTTAGCCCAGTTTATCATCACAACCCAAATTGTTTGAATTTTTGACTTCACAATCCAAACAATCTCCACCTTGATGCCAATGATCAACAAAAGGTGAATAATCGTAATAGCCAACATATGTTTCCCTTAACTCCAGTAAGCATTAACATCAAGTGGATATAATTACCTAAAATGTCACAAAGATCACCCAGTATCAAATTTTAACATTTGTAAACAATATTTGAACTTGTTAAGAGGAAGTACATTAGTTTCCATATCAACATGGTTGAATTAAGTTGAAATTTTCTCACGTAATATTGATTCTTTTTAAATTATATCTCTTATAAAATGAATTATAACATTTTTATGTTTAGTCCTTTCATGAAATACATGATTTTTGCATAAATGAATGACACTTTGACTGTATGAGTAAACAACTACAGGGTGGGAAAGCACATTTAATTCACTTAAAAGACTCTTTTATGGCTTCAGTTGTAGCCACATATTCTGCATATGTAGTAGATAATATAATAATAGACTGTAATTGTGATTTTCAACTTATACAAGTGCCATATAAAGTAAACATATAAGAGGTTGTCGATTTTCTATTGTCTCTATTACCAACCTAATCAGAATCTACAAAACTCTTTAAAATAACACCATCCTTACAGGGATTAAAGTACAAGCACAAGTTAAAAGTTCCTCACATGTATCTTAACAACCATTTTAAAGTTGTCCAGTGTTCAAGACCGAGGTTGAACATAAACCTACTTAAAGTGCCAATATCATGAGCAACATCAAGTTTGGTACAGACCACAATGTACATTATAGATCTTATTGCATTAGCATATGGCACATTTTGCATGTATTCTAGATCAGATTCATGAACAGGACACTGATCTTTATTCAAATTAAAATGACTAGCAAGAGGCAAAGGGACAGATTTAGATTCATACATTGCAAACTTAGATAAAACTGTCTCCACATAATCAGACCGAGACAAAAATAAAGTTTGATAGGATCTATTTCTTTTAATATCCATTCCTAAAATCCTTTTAGCATGACCTAAGTCTTTCATTTCAAATTCAGAATTTAGAGATCTTTTAATGTCACTTATGTTTTATCTAATTAACATACAAAAGCAGTTAAGCAATCATAGATCCAGTTTTATCCTTTTTAAGGTACAGACAATGATCAAAGGAGCTTATTATAAAACCAACAGATAACACAACGTTGTCAAACATTTTGTATCATTGTCTAGGTGATTGTTTAAACCCTTATAAGGATCTTTTTAGCAAACAGACATGCTCAGATTTACTAGTATCAATAAACCCCCGTGGCTGATGCATATAAATGGTTTTTTTCTAAATCACCATGTAAGAATGCAGTTTTTACATTCGTTTGTTCAAGTTCAAAATCATATTGAGCAACTAAAGCAAGCATAACCCTTATGGTGGTATATCTAACAATAGGTGAAAATATTTCATTATAATCAATACCAGGTTTTTGAGTAAACCCTTTTGTCACTAATGTGGCCTTAAGCCTAACAGGTTGCTTCATTGAGTTTCCTTCTTTTATACTATAAATCCACTTACAGTCAAATAAGAACCTATTATTAGGTTTAGGAACCAAAACCCAAGTATTATTTTTCAATAGGGAATTCATTTCTTCTTCCATAGCAAGCTTCCAGTCTTTGGATAAATGATAGCTTACAGGTTTTTCATAAGATTTAGATTCCTTAAAGGCCAAATTTTGATAAGATACAACAGCTAAGGATAGATAATCTCTCATCCTAATAGGCTCTTCTAGTTCTATTGCTGGTTAGTTGATAATCATCTAAGGAATTCTTATATGAGTCACCACCATGTTCTTGAACAGTAACTTCACCTTCTTTATGTAAATCAGAAACATTCTCAGCTTCATTTTCAATCTGAGCATCATCTATATGCTCAGATGATGACCAAGGCTCCACCTGCAACCTGGTCACATTCTCACTGTCATTAACAGGAACATCATCTTGATGTTTTTCACGTAAACATGGCATATCAATTTCATTAAAGCTCATAGTTCTACTAGTGATCATCCTAAAACCTTTAATACCTTTTGCCCATAACCTGTACCATTTAACACTTTTTGGATATCCCATAAAAACTCATTTTTGGGATCGTGGTTCTACTTTGCCAATACTCTGATGAGAGTAGGTAGCACAGCCAAAGTTTCTAAGATGCCTATAATCTGGTAATTTTCTAGACCAGACTTCCTCAAGAGTCTTGCCATCTAAGGAATTAGTAAGAGTTCTATTAATCACATACACAACTGTCATAACAGCTTCTCCCCATAACATTTTAGGCACCCCAGAACTAACAATCATACACCTAACTTTGTATAAAATAGTCTTATTCATCATCTTAGTAACTCCATTTTGTTGAGGAGTATATAATACGGTTTTATGTATTAGAATACCATCAGCTTTACAAAGTTGGTCAAAATCAGCATTACAGAATTCCAGACCATTTTCAGTTCTTAAGATTTTAATCTTTTTACCAGTCTGATTTTCAATCAAAGTTTTCCGAACTTTAAACTTTTCAAAGGTGTCAGATTTTTGTTTTAACAAAAAAGTCCAAACCTTTCTAGAAAAATCATCAATCAAAGATAAAAAAAAAAAAAATTATTTCCACCTTGAGTGATGGTAGATGAAGGGCCCCACAAATTGGAATGTATATATATTCTAAAATAGATGCAGTTTCATGTTTTTCAGTATTAAAATGAAGTCTATGTTGCTTGCCTAAAGTGCAATGCTCACATCATGAAATTTTTGAGATCATATCTTTTCTAGAAACTCCATTCTTGTTTAAAATATGCAAGCCCTTTTCACTTACATGTGCCAATCTATTGTTTCATTTTAAAGTGGCATCAATTTTAGCATTTGAGGATTCAGCAATGTGATTTGAAATTACCTCAACTCTAGTGACATATATACCATATCTCTTGCTACCCTTGAAAATGATAAGGGATCCTCTAATCACCTTTAACAAGCCATTTCCAAGCCTAGCATGTAGGCCTATGTAATCTAAATTACCTATTGAAATTAAGTCTCTGTTTAAATTAGGGACATATCTAACTCTTTTTAGAGTGATGATACATTTTCAAACTTCAAAGTTACACAGCCAATTCCCATGACTCTACGGGCATCATTATTTCCCATAACTACCTCATCCCTTTTCATATTCTTGTAGTTCTCTAACTAAAATTTTCTAGAGGTCATATGAAAACTGCAACCAGAATCCAAGATCCACTCTTGATTATGATCTTTATTTTCAGAGAAATTTACAGTACTCTGATGAGTAATGGACTCCGTAACAACATAGACATCTACAATTTTATCTTCCAGTGGCTCAACCACATTTTCCTTATCCACCTTCTTATCTCTCTGTTCATTATTTTTCTTATAGCAATATTTGATAAAATGTCCAATTTTTCTACATCCATAACATTTTCTATTTCCAGTCCTAGACTTTGACCTATGTTTTCCCTTCCACCTATTCTTGTTATTATTATTATTGTTCTCTTGATAACCCTGATTATCCTGATTATTACTTTGCCTGTTAAGTGACCTTCCTCTTATAAACAGACTCTTAGATTGTCTTCCATGCCTTTCAGTCTTAAGTTCTAATTCTTTGCCCCTTAAAGAATTGATAACAATCTCAGGGGTCAAGGTATTCCTGCTATATTTAATAGCAGTTCTGACATCTCTATATACCTTAGGTATGGGGTTCACGAGTATAACAACCTTGTACTCCTTAGATACATTGTTTCCTGCACTAGTAATATCTTGTACCAATTTATTAAAGTTATCAAGATTATCATCTAGGTCTTTGAACATGTCTATCTTGAAGCTAAAAAATCTTTCTAGAAGAAATAGTTCAATTGGTAAAGACTTAACTAAATAAAGTTCTTCTAGTTTATATCACAGAGCCTTAGCATTATTAAGTTTCCCAACTTTCTTCAAAACTTGATGAGACAAACGTAGAATAATGGAGGTATAGGCAAGTTCATCAGATTCAGTCCTTTGATTGGTAGTCATAGATACAAGAAAATTAGCAATTATAGCTTTTGAAACTTTCTTTCGAATAAGGATTTTTCTCATTTTTTGCTACCAAATGGGAAAATCTCATTTTCCATTTAAAAAAACCCATGTTCAAACGTGGTAGATGTCATTTGGAGTTTTTAATCAACACAAGAAAATTATTTGAAGTACGATGTTCAACAGACACATCAGATACCAAATAGTGTTTGACAACACACTGAATCACATACGGTAATTAGTATCAAGGAATTTCAAGAAACAAAAGGAAATAATAACAAGAACACAAAGTGCAATAATAACAAGTGATGACAATATAATATTCTTTAGGTTCCAGATGTTCAAATTCACTAAGATTCCGTAAAGATCAAGTCCTCAGGTCAAGGCTCAATTTGAATACAAGAACAGGAAGCAAGGAGAGATTTTATACAAAGATAAACAAAGTATATTGTCTATAGGACTGAAAAAGAAAACGTCGCAAACCAGAATGGTAGTCTTTAGTATTGACCACCAGAAACCTCAAGTCAAAATCCTAGAGATCTTAGGTCAACCAAGAAAACCATGAACAGTTAGATCGAACACCAAGATCCAAACTGAAATTCACCAGAGATCAAATATTAGATTGATTTTCAACAAAGAAAATAAACTAGAATGTTAGATCTGTAATCGAACAGATCTAGAGTTCCAAACCAAGAATGAGATCTCAATAGATCTAGTTGAGAAAATTGATTTTCACAATCAGAACACAGACGAAGGAACAACAACAGCCTCTGATGGCTCTGATACTACTATTACACCAAGAAATCAAAGATAACCCAAAGGTCATATACAGTATCTCAGATTTACAATCAGAATATAAAAAAGAAAAAAGAACAGATCATTAGCATTAGGATATCATCAATTTTGGGTTCAGACACATTGTACTCTTCTGTACAAATCAAAACAACCAACCCCAAACCCTCAAAGACTAGTCGAAGCTACTTCTATGAACCAGAAGTTTCCAAACCTAAAACCAACACTCTCTTCTCATAGATCGAATCACAAAGACTCAGAACCAAAAGGAAGATCAAAACAACCAGAAGTTGAAGATTGACACAGAGAATACGAAAACAAGAGCAAAACCACATAGAGGATTCTAGAACCCAAAAGAAAATCAGACAGTGTAAATCTTATTAGGGCAAACCACTGGCACCAATATATATATAACTCAACCATCACCGTAGATCTCAGATGGAATCAACGATTCGGAGCAGCTACACCCAAGGCAACTAAAGTCGCTCTTCTAAAGCGTGAAATAGGCCTTATATTGGGTTTGGGCTTCTTCGTTGAATTATCAGGAAATGGAAATATAACACCGATAGTGGGCGTAGCCCAGTTTATCATCACAACCCAAATTGTTTGGATTTTTGGAGTCACACCCCAAATAGTAACTGTAGAAAAATTATACAATTACCATAATTTTTAGGCAAAGCTGCTTTTACATAGTTCCAGCAAAGAAGATGAGGCCAAGGGACCCTTAAATCATGTTTGGCTAATCTTAAAATAAAAATAGTTACTTTTGAAGGATTAAGAATATGTGAACGGAAAGCCTTATAGGATTCTCTCTTTTGCATTAGTTTTTGAGTCTTTTACAATGACTAAGGATTTTATATTTGTACATTCCACACTATAATGTCTACACCGGATTCATCTACACATGTAGCTAGTTTTGTCAATGAAAATTTCCTTTTAGTTGTCCCTGAAAACGACCCTTCGCTATTTAATCAATTTTAAGCATATATCCAATATCAAATTCTCATATCCTTTCTTTGCGTGAGAGATATACACTGTAGAAGTAATTTGGCACGACTTATAAGCTACCACAAAGACTACATACGAGCTTATGGCATAGGTGGATTCCAACGTGAAATGAACATAATTTACGAGCTTTTCCATCTCTTATGATCTTTTGGTATGGTCCCTTTTGGGGACATCGGATAAAATTGGGACGAAAGTTTTGGTTTCATTGTTAGTGCAATCTCCCCATCTTTAGCTGTTATCTTTCTGTATTATCACGAGGCAGATTAGTACATTATATTCCATTAGGCTATGAACAAAAAGGAGGCCATATTGGTATTTAAGATATGAGACATTGAACTCTAATCTCTTAATGTTGTTGTCCCACATAGGATTCTACTAACACACACAAGAAAATGTTGTCTTATCACTATGATCTGAATAATGCTACTTTGTCCAAAAGATAGTGACATAATAGTTGACATAATAGGTGTTTACAAGTTATTATTGGTTGAAAAAATTGACTGTGATTTAAACAATTCAATGACAAATTGTCATGTGACATTATGTTAATCACTGTGTCTACGTATCATGATTGCTATGACTTTCCAATTATCTCTACTTTGGAATACATGTCAGCATCACTAGTTTTTAGGTCGTTTGAAGATTTATTCAAACATTCAAATGGACACCATCCTTAAATTTTATTACATCACATGTTTATATTTCATTGGAATTTCAGAGCACATTTATTTGAAATCATTAGTTAATGGACTAAAGGTAGCACTGTCTTAAACAATTCCAAAAGTTTTTATTATTTATTATGCACATATAACAGTCGTAAGCAACTCATCGCTAGACAGACTTCACGACAATGTTAAGCAATAGAAATTTTCTTGATATATGGCTGAGATTGTTGTTTTTTCTTGCTTTACAGAAATTCCATAGAGATCTTCCTCCAACTCCAGTATTTGCATTTGGTTTATCAAAGCATGCTGCAACAATTCCTGGTCCTACAATTGAAGCTCTTTACGGAATTCAAACTTATATAAAATGGAGAAATTATCTTCCCTCGAAGCACATATTGCCCTGGGATCCAACTATTCCAACTGCCATACCGTCCACGAAGAAGGGCATCCCTACAGTTGTGCACCTCCACGGAGGCATAGATGAACCTGAGAGCGATGGATTCTCAACCTCGTGGTTCACTGCCAAATTCAAAGAGCGGGGACCTACATGGTCGAAGAAAAAGTATCACTACCAAAATTTTCAGCATCCGGGGAACCTATGGTACCATGATCATGCTTTGGGGCTGACTAGAGTTAACATTTTGGCTGGCTTGTTAGGCGCCTACATCATTCGGGATCCAAAAGTGGAGGCACCACTTAGATTGCCATGTGATGAAGAATTTGATCGTCCATTGGTCATATTTGATAGGAGCTTTTGGACTAATGGTTCAATATTCATGAATTCGACAGGAAGTAATCCATCAATACATCCACAGTGGCAAATGGAGTATTTTGGCGATGCAATCATAGTCAATGGGAAGGCATGGCCCCACATGGTCGTGAGGCGACGAAAATATAGGTTCAGAATTATTAATGCTAGCAATGCAAGGTTTTTCAAATTCTATTTTGTCAATGGTTTAAGATTTATCTACTTGGCGTCTGATTCAGCATATAATGCAAGACCGATAATGGTCAACGACATCCTTTTGGCCCCATCTGAAATTGCTGATGTGGTCATTGACTTCTCGGAGTCAAATTCTGATTCAGTTATTTTGGCTAATAATGCATCATATCCCTATCCTTCTGGAGACCCTGTCAATGAAGCCAATAGCAAAGTCATGAAATTTATCATAAAATCCCACCATGAGTTGGACACGTCAAGAATACCAAAAAAATTGATCCATTATCCTTCCCCAAATTTAGCTAGTGCGTCACTGACACGGTACATTGCCTTGTATGACTACATGAGCAAGAACGATGAACCTATATATTTGTCCATCAACGGAAAATCATATGAAGAACCAGCAACTGAGACACCAAAAGTGGGGGCAACAGAGATTTGGACTGTGATCAATTTAACGGAAGAAAATCACCCAATGCATATTCATCTCGGACTTTTTGTAGCCTTGGATCAAACGGAATTGGTGAACATTGATGAATTTAAAGATTGTATGTTGGAGAACTACGACGCTATCAAGTGCCATGTTGGCAAGTATGCGCGTGGAAAGAAGATAGAGGTACCGGCTCATGAGAAGGGATGGAAAAATGTTTACAAGATGATGCCTGGATATGTTACAAGAATACTAGTCAGGTTTTCTTACATTCATTCAAACGAATCATATCGGTTTGACGCAACTGCAGAACCTGGCTACGTCTATCACTGCCATGTGAGTAATTTTCCTGTACTAACTTTGCATCTTTACTAGGTCCAAAAACGTACTAAGACTCGTGGTGTCATGTTTTTCACTGCATCAAAATTATCTGCTGTTTAATGAACTACATAAATTTAGACATCTTATGAAACTCAAAACATCGACCCAATTCAGAGGTATTTGTTTCCAACACAAAATAAGAATAACAGAAATGATATCTGTAATCTATGCATTTAGTACATCCTTACCGCCGTTGGATTAGGTAAGAATTCCTCATGTTATCTGTCCAAGTATATATTATGCATTCAATTCATATCGAGTGAAATAGTCTTGAAACTTGAAATTTGTATAATATCCTTTTACTTTCTTTTCAGTCTATAAAGGCAGCTTCTTGATTATTTCATTATTGAAGACAATATTTTGACTATTTTTCTAATAATTTATTTGGCCATACGCAGGTCTTAGATCATGAGGACAATGTGATGATAAGGCCATTGAAATTAATCAAGTAGAGGTATCAAGCGCGCCTTTTAATTAAACTCTCAAATGCATGGGAAAAAAAACGAGAAAGTACCTTCGACGAATTTATATTGTTTGATTCTTATTAACTCCATTGTTCGAACATTACATTTCTGCAGGCTTGAACTACGCGATTGAAGAACAAAAGGAAGGAATCATTACATGGATAGCACCTTAAAAATAAGAGGAAGCAAGTATATGACAAAATTCTACTAGACATATAATGTATTGTAATCAATAAGATATGTGGGGTGAATGTAAAGTTGGAATAAGGAAAAGTAAACATTTGTATTTGAAGTAACAGAGTATGTTACCTGCATGTGCTGTTTGTTTTTATTTTCGAACAATGTTAATGCAACGATGATGATTATTACTACTACTATTGCTACTACCTACACGTGGGAAAGAGGATGAAGTTTTGGGGGTGGAGTGGGGTAGGGTGCAAATGTTCCCTTTTTTTA